ACATATATTAACATATATTAAAATACAGATGAATTTATGGAACAAACGTATCACAAAGGTGATGTTCGTAGAAAAAAGTGATTTATACAAAGTGACTTTTTGCACCATGCGCAAGTAATTATTGCAGGTGCGCCACAAATATCGCATGTTGGTTTTGACTGTTTATGGAAACAAAATTCCACTGGTGTTTCGAATTCTTCGGGCTTATTTATTACGTACCCGCTTTTATACCATGCGTATTTCAATAAATTTCTGAATCTTGGCGATGAAAATTGAGTCAATGACTGTAATTTTAAAATGGTGTTTCTTGCATGCAGATTGACTTCCAAACCTAAAAGCATTACAGTATCAGAAAAGTGTCTAATAAAATTCTTCCACAAACGAAAACCATATACATCCAATGGTTGTATTTTTCCTGTTGTTCCAGCTGGTATAGTCAACAAAATAATATCTTCTGTGGATTCTGGTTTAGATTCTTGAATAATATTTGGACAATGACCAAAGTTTAGTTCATGAATCTAGTAGTAAAACAGATTTTGGACCTACATTTAGAAAAAGTACGTCTTGCAACCAAATTTTAAAATAATGCGCTGTTAGTTTTCCGGATTTTGAAGCCGTAACAAAAATATTAGGTGCCTTAAACATTGTTTCTTGCACTCTGGGACCAAATGTTCCACTAACTTCTTTCAGTACAATAAAAAGAGGCGATAATAATTTACCATCGGCTGAAACAGTAGGTTGTATAGTATAGCTATGCGTAGTTGCCGATACGGATTGTACTGCAGATTCAATCTTTTTTGTTCCTTTATATGCCAATGTACGACCGGCATGAAGTTCTAATTGGAATCCGCTTTGATCACTGTTGTAAATATTTTCAACTCCATATTCTATTATTTGATATTTAACGTTTTCAATAAATGTGTTACATTTTTCTTCAAAATCGACGTTAGACAATATAGATGTTTTTCTTATAAATTTTGTTATTTTACGAGATACAATATTATGTATTATTTTAAATTTTCGTATCCATCGCGATGAAGCTGTAAATTCTGGTACATTTAAATTTTCCTGTGCCCGAATAGCCCATCGAGCTAAATCAGCGTCGTGAACAATAATTCTATTTTCAAGAGCTGTATGAAAATTATTTAATGTATATTCCGAAATTTGTTTTAATTTTTCGAATCTACTGCCACCTTGATTCACTTGAATTTCCCATCGTCGTAATTGACGTAATGAATATACTTTCCGAAATCTTTGTTTTACTCCTTCTAATGTTCTTGGCCTTGTTGTACTGCTTTTCCAAAATTCGACTGCATTTTTTTATATCCATACGGAATACGTCCATCTGTAGTACATATAACTTTAGGATTTGCGTCCATAGCTCACCTTCTTCCTCTTTATCTCCTAGTTCGAATTGCTCTGCTGTTGGAATATCGTTATCGTTTTCATAATCTAAAGATTCTTCTACTTCCATTTTGTATCTCTCATCGCGCATTTCTTTCAGCATAGATTCTATTTTATGTGCCATTTCTCGTTCTTCAGATGTTATCGGACTTGTTGATAGATTAAGGGCCGAAAAAATTACGTATACTAACATTATTACGTTAAATGGATTTAATTGAACCATTCTGAAAAATATAACAATTAAATATTTCTCCTTATTTGTGTACAAAAAAATAATACTTACTTTATAGTAAATTTGCTGTTTTTTTTTGATGCTGTTTTATATATGTTTTTTCGTAATCACTAACAAGCGCACAACTTTAAAGCATAATATGCACTGACGGGATATGACAACGCGCTGCGCTATAAATGCACTCGAAATGCGACTATAAAAGTGTAAAATAGAGGGGATGTTTTGGCAACAACTTTAGTGAACTTTGTTCTTTGATCAGAACATTTTTCCGAATGTTTCATAACATGCTAATCTTTATTTCTAATTTTATTTGTCTTATCAATTACACATGCACGACAAACATCGATTACACAAGCGGCACAAACGATGCGTTATGCATATATATGCATATATCGCAGTGCGACGCATATAGTGCGACATTGACAGCTCATTTCTGAAAGATGTGATTTCGAAATATAATAAAATCATATATGGTTGTATTCAGCGTAAAAAATGCTACAACTTTTGTCATAACAAAAATTTTGAAAATTGTAAAAATAATAAGAAGGGGTAAGGGTAAATTAAAAAATATTAAATTTTTTAAAAATCGAGCTACGCGGTTATAAAGCTTATAAAAGACCATGCAACTTTTATTCGAAACATTTTTTAATATCTCTTACAGTTTTGACGATATTCAGTCAAAACCAAAAAAACCGTTTTAGCTTGTAGGGGTTGTTTCAACCCTAAACGTGCAAGAAAACACATAAAAAAAATACGTGTCTCTTATTTTGAGCTACTTTACAACATATTTAAAGCTCGTCAAAATCGGAGGGGGACACTTGGGTCCCTTTCCTTGTTAGTTACATCGTAGATTGCTACAAACGATCACTTTTCGATTTCAAATGTTGTGCACTTTCAAGTTAAAATTGCTGATAAAGGAGTTTTATTTTTTATATCTGATTTTGATACTTATTTTACAGAAATTAATCTTAACAAAAATCATCGAGCATTCGCAAATATCTTTCAAAATCTGCCACCAGCACCTGTCAAGGGAATAAGTACTCGAAAGTATAATCACTTACAATATCTATTCAAATAAGTGCCTAAAATACATTTTACTGTTAATATATTAACACACTTCGACAGCGTCCTAGAAAAAGATAATTGATTATTTTTATAATTTTGATTTTTTTTCTGTTTTAGTTTATGTTAAATAAATTACAAAATTCAAATAAATTTTCTTCACTAACGATATATCTGTATTTTCAATGAAAATAGGGATGTGTGTGTTGATTGTATAAAGTTAAGTCATAATATGATATTTATCAAGTACACAGTATTAAGCAGGGATCGGCATCATTGATATTTTCAGTAATAATTTCAGCTTTGATTAACAATTACTTACATAATCAATAATTAAACTCGAAAATTATTTGATTACTCGATTAACCAATAATCAAAACGAAAAATTATTTAATTACTTTATTAATCAGTAATCAGGGTATAAAATTTTTCGTTACTCAATTAACCAATAATCAAAACGAAAAATTATTTAATTACTTTATTAATCAGTAATCAAGGTATAAAATTTTCGTTACTTGATTAACCAATAATCAAAGCAAAAAATTATTTAATTGCTTTATTAATCAGTAACCAGAGTATAAAATTTTTGGTTACTTGATTAATCGGTAATCAGAAGGAAATAATTTCAATTACTTGATTACTCAATAATCAAGGTCTGATGTTTCTTGATTATTTTAGTTAATTAATAATCAGCGTAAGGCAGCAATTACATAGAGAAAAAGGAATAAATTTAACGAAATATTTTTCTAATAAATTAATTGAATTAATTAGAATTTTTATGACTGATAAAGAAATAGTTCAATTAACAAAATAATTTCTCCGTTTTCAATGAACTAATATATTTAATGTGAATGAAAGTCTGCGTTTATTTAAAAAAATATTTCGCAAGATCCGGTGATTGCTTCTCTCAATGCAATATCTATTAAGTCACATTAAAATCATATTCCGTAATCACACAACTTTATTTTCTGAAATATATTGAAGTTTGATATTATACCTGCAAACAAAATATTAAAAAATCTGCAAAACGTTGTAAGTATTTTACTGAGAGTATATCAAAAACAAAAAATCTGTTTACATCTTTCTCTACAAAAATTATATTTATGTGACTTAACATACTCTGCCTCTCTAGATGCTGATATATATGTAATGTATGACTTTTTATTTTTTGACGAACCTGATGAGAGGTATCGCACCACTAAATAACCATTGATGATCGTCTTTTAGATCTTTAACTTCGATCAATCTGAAATCCATGGCATAAAGATTACCAATCAAGAGAAGTCTATCTTGAAATATTCTCTCCAGAATAACGCTTAGATCATTTATAGAACATGATGCTGGTAAACAAAGGCCAAGTACAATTAAATCCTGAAAAGTAATTCTTTTTACATATTGTAACATATTGTAATATCAAATATATATTATTATTTTCAGAGATTTGTTCATCGTTAACATTATATTTTTATTGTGTTATACTTAATTTTAATTTAATTTTTTTAAATCTACATAAATTTACAAATTTCAAAAATTGGTTTAAAATTTGATATGTTTTATCCGATTTCATACTTCATAAAGATCTGTCAACTTACTTCGTTTGGTAATTCCACGTGGTACTGAAGAGTACTATTGTGTTTAAAGTGGGCAACAAAGTAATTAATTTTGAAAGGCGGATACTCTTTTTGTCGATCACGGTATAGTGAATTATTTAATAAATTTCGTTTTGAGAGTTCAAAAGGATATTTATTCATTGTATCGTAACACTGGCTGCGACTGCCTAGCCAATAATTATTTCCATAAAGAAAGCCTGATTTAGGTTCACCGCTAGAATCTAGCACTTAAATATGAAAAATAAACAATTATTATTTAAACAAAATATAGTATAGTATTTTTTAATGGTTATTAATTAACGACTAATAATTATTAAAATAAATATTATTATTTTTTGCAATTTTATATTGAGATGGATTTTATATGATATTTTCCAAGTAAACACAGATATATAACTACTATATTGCCATAATATAACACAGTGTAATATACAATATAACATACGTCAAAACAACATATCCCAGCAAACACAGAATATTGCAACATTGCCATAATATTGCTGCAATGTTCTGTGTTTGCTGGGATAGATTAGTAGTAATTTTTTACTGATATGTTATTGCAGCTACATCACATAAATATAATGAGATTGCATGTATATAAAATGTTATATAACATCAAAATAACAGAAATATAACATTAAAGAAAAAAATATAACAAAAATATGTCGTTATATTTATGTCATATTGCTACTACTTTTCATAAACAGAAAATAACGAAGCAACAACAGTTATTAATCGCAATATTATCCCAGCCAGCAAAATCCTAGCAGTATGCAAACATATCTAATCATGAATTTACAGTAGATTTCACTGCACTGCGTCCTCATTAAGCTTTGTTTTCACCAGTACAATGTGCCAACACAATGACAGTAAAAATGTAACAGAAATAGAGCATGATTTGTCATCATGACGTGACAGCAGAAACGTAACAGAAATCGAACATGATCTACTGTCACGATATGACAACAGAAACACGGTAGAAACGAAGCAAAGTCCGCTCTTGACAGCAAAAATAAAAAATGTCTTAATGTAAGTCAAAAATCGAACCTGTCTTTCGCTTGCCAGATAAATGTTTTTATCACTACTAGACTATTTTTACTTAGAAACCAACCTATTAAAAAATGTATTTCTTTCACTAACAATTGCGGCTCATCATGCGACGGCAGAACATTTCTGTTACATAACGTGCTTACAGACAAGATTTCTGACGTTACACCGTGACAACACGCTATGTGCAATCTCAGTGTGTATTCTGCCAATACATTGTGCCAGCATATAATGTTTGAAATTTGCTATATTTATGCTGGTAAGACCTGCTCAATTTTTGTCATATTTCTGCTGTTACATTGTGACGCACGTTGTACTCTATTTTTGCTATGTTTTTGTTAACATTATCTGAAACGGCGCATCCTGCGAGAATATTGATAGCATTTTTTGGATGCAAGACATAAATTGCAAAAAGTGCTCTGTCCAATTTTGCTAACTGGGATATTGTGTCTACAAAAGAAAATTATGTAAATCAAGAAAAAATATTAACCCATATAGCACAGAAAGATTTCAGTAACATTGCAGTTATATTTCATTGCAATATTGTAACATGAATATTGTAACATTTGCACAGAAGAGTTAAAATGTTGTTGCAATGTTGTCGTTAGATTGCAGCAATGATAAAATGTCCGTCTTCAAGAATATTGCATATAAAAGTATTTAAAATAAGAATAACAAATTAAACTGTTTTTTATTTTTAATTGCCTTTGCACACTTCCAATGTTTATTCATTAAAAGTAAAAATATCTAAAAGATAAATAAACTATAAACTGTAACTTTTAATTTATAGTTTTCAGATGCAATATTGCAAAGCTGCAGATTGCAATATAACAGAAACATTGCAGAAATATAAAACTGCATCATAACTCTTCTGATATTCCTGTAATATTTTGGAAACATAAAAAAATATTATGCTCTTATTTATAGTAAATTAATCAAAAAATATAATTTTGATACATTAAATTGTAAAATATTGTAGATTTAGTAATTTGTAATTAATAGTAATAATTTATATTTAAGAAGAGATAACTGAAAATATATGTATAGAGTTTATACTGTATGTACTAAAAGTTTAGATAATAAAAATCTTTTTCGAAAGTAAAAGAATTGTAACGAATGCAATAATATACAAAATGTGTATTTTAACGAACAAACTTCAGGAACATATAGGCCGGTATTCATAATCCGTTCTTATATTCAAGATTGTCTTAAGCACGAACTTATATTCGCTCTCTTCGTCAGACACAATCTATGAGTGACGAAGAGAGCGAATATAAGTCCGTGCTTAAGACGATTTTGAATATAAGAACGGACTATATGAATACCGCCCATAGAGGCATTCAAAATTAGAACAGCAAATTATGTACTTTTTCTTTTTTTGAAATCCCTCTATATATTCTTAATGTTTTCTATAAAGAACAGAAACATTTGTAAACTATTATATAAATCACAAGTTGCAGATGAAATTTATCATTTTCAGATACACTTCTGCTCTTAATGAACAAATAAAAGAAGTACGTAAAGAAACAATCGAAAGTAAGAAAAGATTGAATTTATTATTCTTATTTTGGATGCTTTTATATGCTCTAGTAGAGCTATAGATTGTTCGTTAAATTCAAAAGCATCTTGTGCATTACTACAAATATGTTGCACAATATTGCCGTAACGTTTCCTAACAATATTTCTACAGGCAGACATTTTATAACAATATTGCGGCAACATTTCTAAACTTCTGTGCAATGTTACAATATTGCAATGAAAAATTTCCACAATCAATGTTATCAATACAATGTTCCTAAAATCTTTCTGTGCTATATAGATTTCAATCAAGGAGTAAAACCCGTGAACAGAACTTGGACAATATTGAAAACAGTCGATAAACAATGTATTAAGAATCTTACTAACTTTTCAAACTCCACAGTATTCGTTGATCAATAGCGTCTCGAAAATCATGTAGCTCCTTTCCACATGTCGAGTTGAGAAGATTGGCTTTTGAGGCAATGGCATACGCAGGTAGCGTATAATTACTGCCATTATTTTCGTTGAATCCGTGAATTTGTGTAGAGACACATATTAACGCAGAAAAATTTACACAAATGCACAAAGTAAATGCAACTTGCCAGTGTGACATATTTGGACTGTAATATGCAACAAAATACTTTTATTTCCATTCGTTGCTGTTAATTGAATACGAATACTATATAGTTAATTTTGACACGTTCCCTGCCAAGCGTCACATATCGCATATTTGCTGGCGTCAAGCTAGCGTCAAGACGTTTTCGAAACACTGGTCGCAAATCCTTTTTGGTTGATATTTTTCTGAATTATGGGTCTTCAAAATTTATGTACCGCCGGCGTTAACATTACCCAAGATGTATCGCGTGGAGGTCGCACGGTCGGATTTACATGGACAAGGGGACTCACTTTCATCAAACTCCCCGAAGACATGTAAATTCGACCGTGCGACCTTCACGCGGTACATCTTGGATCTTGGGTAATACTAACGCCGGCGGTACTTCAATTTTGAAGACCCATAATTCAGAAAGATATCAACCAAAAAGGGTTTGTGACTAGTGTTTCGAAAACGTCTTGACGCCAGCTACAAGAATATGCAATAAAAAATTAGGGTTCCCATTTAAGAAAATTAAGATCACCTTGATCTAACCTTAACGGCGCCGCCCAAGGTCAAATCAATGGTACCATCTTATGTCTCCCTCCGAACCATATAACTTTTATATGAAATATTTTTCTGTATCTCTCTTAGTTTTCGAGATAGATATATACGGAACGTTCGGGGCTACCTTGTATAATATTGTTGCGTCCCTGTATTTTCGTTTTCTGAGTTTCCGTGCCGTGTTACACCGTTCATTGCTGAGAGCAGAAGATTCGTCTCCAGAGAGACGCTTGTTTACAAACAACGATAGACTGTCAGACTTGGAGGAGCTGTCAAATAGTCGGACGCGTTACGATAACTCTCTTGTATTTTATTCGATTACGGTTACAAATGCTGTAAGAACGTTTTATTAAAGTTCTCGTTTGAATCCTTAAGTGTTCTTTTATTCCGTGAGTGAGCATTTATTTCTGGTGTTAATCGGCCGATTCAAATCGCTTCTCATGTACGTAACAATATTATACATCAAACTGGACAAAAATGTCATATCCCAAATATAAACACATGGCAGTGCTGCAAGATCAAGCATCCTGCAATAGAGCGACATACCCTCATCATACGGGCGAGACTAATTTCCTTTCTTTCCTTCATTTCGTACATTTAGATTCTCGAAAATGAGATCAATGTATGTAATTTTCGTACACTTTAGAATCCGAGATCGTGTACACTTTAATAATGTCTCTCTATTAGACGAATCAATTTTCTGTATGAAAAATATGAATAATTCTCGCACTAACATCCAGCGATGGCATGAGATGCCTCTCAATTCGTATTAATTTGATTTATATCATACGAGCCTAGTCCTTATATATTATAATAATTTTAAAATCACGCAAACTTCAAGTTGCGTCGTTCTCCTACAGATTTGTTTATTTCCTAAAAACCAGCGAGAGTGAATGTTAGAAGCGTGAGGTCTGAGTAGTTCAGTAATAAGAAGAGTTGTCCGTAAAGTGAAAGACCCGAATTCAAGTCCCGGCTTAGCCACTCGCGCCCTGATATTTTTTCTCTCGTTTTTCCTTATACCTTTATATACAAGGGATGGAATATTCTACGCGCTGGGGGATGGAGTGAGGATGGCTTCCTTCCACACGCAAGCGACGCGACGTATCGTGTACGTATACGCTCCCTTCCACGCGCTAAACTACGCGCTAAGCCATTCCTAGATAACATGAGTGCAGGTAACGTTTAGCTACGCAGCAATTGCACAGAACCCCGTGTGATCTACTCTTTAGAAGTAATTCCTATGGGATTTGCTTAAAAATCTAGAATATTTTTAAACGGAGAATACACGGATATTCATTATATTTACATTTACCGATATTTGTAAAATTTATATTTATATTTACTGATATTTGTAAAAATGTATAAAATAACCGTGATTTCAAAAGTTTTTGGGCACTAACTTTTTAAGGAAGCATTTTTCGACTCATGTTTGTAGGAAATTATTGGTTCAGAATCAAATTTTCTATAAGATCTCAAAACCTCGCCGGAACGTTCGAGGCCACTCTATATATACAGGGTGGACCATTTTAATCACTTTAGTCGATTTTCTCAAAAACTAAAGCAGATACGAAAAAATGTTTCAGACAAAAGTTTCACGATTTCGAGAGGGAAAGAATATGCCGTTGTCAATTCAATCGTAGGTGGCACCACTTTCGAAATTTCTTTGTTTCAACCATTTTTTTAAATGGAAGTCGATTTTTCTCAAATAAAATATTTTATCATATTTAGTTTATATCTATCAGACACATTGTATAAGCCTATTTTGTTTCGTATGTACATCATAATCATACGATAGAATTTCGATCGAGAAAAAAAGTACAAACTTTACAAATTATCTGATAAGACATAAACAGACCACCTGTAGTGGATTACGAATAAAAAAATACGTATTTTTTCAAATTTGCCAGCCCATGTTACGTCGCCTCTGGCATTACTTATTAAAAATTGTCAGCTGACGTTAGATCGCCTCTGACTTCATTTATAAAAATAAACCAGTTCACGATAGATCATCTCTGACAATATTTATTACAAATTACCAGCTCACAGATAAATCGCCTTTGACAATATTTATTTTAATTTGTCAGCACACGTTAGATTGCTTCTGACGATATTATTACAAATTGTCAGCTGATGATAGATCGCCTATGACTATACGTATTAAATTTTGTCAACTCAAGATTAATCGCCTTTGATTATATTTATTAAAAATTATCAAAACATGATGGATTGTCTCTGACTTTATTTTTACAATTTTGCCAGTTCACCAGAAAATAGCCTTTGGCTTGTCTTATTCTTTATTGTAAGATACTTTTATTACTTCATATGCTTTATGTATATATATTATGTACATATATTATGTGCTCCTTATTATCTATATTTATATCATTATCTATATTTATATCTATATTCATATCAAAATATCTATGTAAAAAATTAACACCATTTTATATACTGTTTTTACAATAAATGTAATGATATATGCCACATATTTTATTTCTAAAACATGATACTAAATACCAAATTAAGCACATAAAATAAGGCTAATTGTAAGTATTTAAAAGAAACATATGTTGAAACAGGTTATTACAAGTCGCAAAATAAATGTTGTTTCTTTTATCAAGATTTTTTTACAAATAATAGACACAAAAAATTGAAAATATCTTTATATTTTATGCTTTATAAATAAATTATATGACATATACATTTATTATAAAAATATATACAATATACAAAATAATATTAATTTTTTTACATAGATATGACTAGATATGAATATACATAATATGGAGCACATAATATACATAATACATACACATGGAGCACACGAATAAAAGTATTTTATAGAAATTAGAATATGAATGTATATAACTAAATGATGCAAATGTTGTATCTACTAACATAAACCACGCCGCTTATGTGTCAATTCGTTGTTAGCGCTTGGTAGATGACGTAAATGTTTAAACGCGTTTTTCTCGCTTATTCTGGAGAGTTGCGTCGTATCACTTTATGTTTCGTGTTTCCCCTGTTAATTTAATATTCTTTTTCTTCTGAAGTTATACATCTTGTACATGTAAACTTGTTAAGCTTGTAAATTATATTAAAAAATGATATGAAACCCTTAAAACAGAATTTGGATGCTAAGTAAAAGAAATTAATGCGAAAAATTTGTGCATTTGTGTTTATGTAATATAGTGGTGATAAGGTAAAAGAGAACAATATAGATTATTCCCCGGATATTGAGATAGAGATATCGAACTAAGATTTAATTAGAAACAGCTAATAATAAAACAAAAAGAAATGGATTGCAAAATTTACACTATCCAGTAGTGCTCCAACTTCTGACCCACTGTACGTTACTTTTATGTGTATGTGTGTGTCTATATAAAAATATATAGTATTTAGTATTTAGTGTGCTGTGCACAGTATAAAAATAATGAAACAAAAAATTTGTTTCTTTCTAAAGACAGACACGAATAAAAGCTGGATAAAAAGGTTAGTTATTACTTGTTGTAATTTAAAGCAATTGTTTCAATGTCAATTGATATTACCTTCTATTTATCAATGAAAGTTTTTATATTAACATGATTTTGAAACAATTGCCAAATAAGAATAGCCAGAGACGGTTTATCGTGGGCTGGCAATTTTTATAAATGAAATCGGAGACAATGTATTGTGGACTGACAAGGGGGACCTCTACCTTGTTGAGTCAAAAAATCGTATTTTTTTTGTATTTTCCAAAAGACTGACCCTTTGAGAATGTTTCTAAAATAATTAGGCAAAATTCTAAAAATTAACAAAGTTATAACATTTTAATGGTGATTAGTAAATATTTCTCGCACATAACAGAAATTTTAAAGCTTTTTTCTTGAAACTACTTTCTTTGACCTGATGTTGAAGAAATCTCGAGAATCAATCAAGAGATTGGCTTCAAATTTTACATAAATCTCAAGAAGATAACTGTCTATCGGTGGAACTTGTTGCCATATCTGTTACTGTTTTTTTTTTATTTAAACAAATTAGCAATTTTTAAACAAAATTTGATTATTTTTCGTCAAAAGGCCACCATTTTGTCAATTTTCAACATTTTTAAAATATTCTAGTTCCACAGATAATTACATTTATATAGATTAGGAATCTTTTTCATTTTCTTGTTACAAATGATTTCCGGAGATGTTTTCAACACAAGCAAGATGCGATTTTTTGGAATGCCCTCACTCAGTGCTTTCTACTATCTATACTTAAAACTTTTTTATATATAAAAATTCACAAATATTGCTGTAAATGTAATTAAATCAACCTCTAAATTTGAGATCAATATGTCGAATAGTTTTTTTTATAAAAAATTCCCTAAGATCACGTATTTTTTTGCCTCATAAAGAGTAAAAGTCCCCCTTAATAAATATAGTCAGAGGCGATCTAACGTCGGCTAATAATTCAGAAAAAGAAGAACCCGAGGCGTTAATAAATGGAGTCAATAAATGTCACTCTCGTACCATTTATTGACTCCAAAACTTTTTTACTCTGTGTGTGTGTGCGTGCGTGCGTGCGCGTGTGTGAATGGGTGTGTAAGCGCGCGTGTGGTCTCGAATGTTTCTGTAAATGGTTATAAATGCTTATTATTTTATTAAATGTTCAAATTGATGTTCTTTTGTTACATGGCAGTGTCCCAAGCAAACGTAAAATGTATTTATAGCAATGCTCACCTGCGTTTGATTGCCGCATAAACGTTATGAACTGCAGGTCTCAGTAATGCAGCCTGTACGGTGTCTTCACCGTAATTTTCGCAACTGAAACGTGAACCTCATCTACTCAATTTATAAAATCTTGTTTGCCCGTCAAAGTTGTCTTTACTGTCTTTACTGTAATTTATTATATACATTCTGACGTCAGATCTAACGCAAATAGAATGCAAACTCATTATTTATAAATTAATTTGCTATTCAATAATAATGCAAGTTTATTTCAAATCAATTTCCATAATATTATGCAAATATAATATAATAAAAATGCTAATTGTTCAATCAATTAAACCAGTGCTCGGAATTAGTTGAACATTTCAGCCGATTTCCGCGGTATACGCCTTCTTTCCTCTTCTTACCACGCGCGCCGCAGCCGCTAGGGCCAGCGC